GTAAGTGCTGTGGTTTATCTTTACGAACTCCTTGAGAAGAGTGGGCGATCTTAGTGTTCAATGTCAATGGCAGGAAAGGCAGAGCACTTACAAAAAAAATAAAAATAAAGGGAGAATGTATTTCATATCCATGAGTATGATTCCGTGCACGTATTTCTTTATTCTTTTGTTTGTTGGATGAAAACATGTTTTAAGCAACCTCAAATAACTCATCCACTAATAGACCCCTAGTCAATCATATGAGTATTAAATTATTAGAGATGTTGACGACGGACATAAAGAGACAGCTCTAGAAACAGAGGATATGATGAGAAATAGAGAAAGAATAAGCTGCTGAAATATATAAAATTAGTGAATAGTGGAGCATTACAATTGTTCAACCAAAGAAACTCTCAGAGGCCTTAGACATCATACCTAGGGCTGGGTTGCCTTACAATCCTGATACACAAATTTAGTTGCTGAAAATGTCTATATTTTCTGTCTCCAAATGGAAGTTTACAAGCAGATTTATAGAACGTTTAGGACTATAAAATACATCCTCTAGATGTAGTTAATACTTCTGTAATGGTTTCCTTTTCTTATCTTTCCATTTGATCAACTTCCTGTATACTATACAGGTATATGAGTGGATGATTAACAGAGGAGAGAAATATAGAATAACCTCCAGTGATACTGCTATTCAGCTGGATCTTATTGCCAAGGTGCATGGAATTTCAAATGCCGAAGAATACTTCAAGAATTTGCCAGATGCCTTGAAGGATAAAAGAATATATGGTGCTCTTTTAAATGCGTATGTGCGTGCCGGGATGAGGGAAAAAGCTGAATCCTTAATTAGTAAAATGAGAAATAGAGGCTATGCCAGTCATGCACTTCCATTCAATGTGATGATGACACTTTATATGAACCTTAAAGATTATGAAAAAGTTGAGTCACTAATCTCCGAAATGATGGAGAAAAATATATCATTAGATATTTATTCCTACAACATTTGGCTATCATCTCGTGGATCTCAAGGATCTTTGGAAAAACTGGAACAAGCATTTGAACAGATGCAACTCGACACTACCATCAATCCCAACTGGACTACCTTCAGCACGATGGCTACCATGTACTTAAAGTTGGGGCAGTTGGAAAAGGCTGAAGACTGTTTGAAGAAAGTTGAGACTAGAATCACTGGTCGAGATCGAATACCTTATCAGTATCTCATGAGTCTCTATGGCAGTCTTGGTATCAAAGAGGAGGTTCATCGGATATGGAACATTTACAAAGCTACATTTACCACTATCCCAAATTTGGGCTATCATGCTGTGATTTCGTCTCTGGTTAGATTGGACGACATCGTGGGGGCTGAAAAGATCTACGACGAATGGCTTTCAGTGAAATCATTTTATGACCCCAGAATAGGAAATCTTCTATTGAGTTCTTATGTCAAGAAAGGTCTTTCTGAAAAAGCCGAGTCATTCTTTGATCAAATGATTGAAGCGGGAGGACAACCAAGTTCTGTGACATGGGAGATTCTTTCAGAACATCACATCAAATCCAGGAGGATTTCTGATGCTCTGTCTTGCTTAAAGAATGCTGTTTCAGCTGGAGGTTCAAAGGGCTGGAGACCGAAAGCCATAAATGTCTCTTCTATTCTCAAGATTTCCGAGCAAGAAGTTGATATTGCAAGTAAGGATGCCTTGCTGGAAGTCTTGAAGCAAGTGGGATGCCTTGATGATGAAGTCTATATGTCGTATATTCCGCTATCCACTGGCAGTGATTCAGCATTAAAGGATGGTCGAACTGATAGTGACGATGTTAATGATGGAGCTAATATACTTCTCAGTCAACTCCAGGAAAGTTTGTGAAAAGTCGTTCACCACTCTTGTACAGAGGCAACAATTATTAGCTTTAAAAAGATTGCGTATTTGTTGTCCTCCTTTGAGGGGTACGTAAATCTCTCGTTGCATGGTTATAGTTTATATTAACGTGAGAAGCTTTGTTTGTTAGCCCTTACTACAAAATGCTATTGACAATTCTTGAAAATGCTGAATCCAATGCTTTGAATGTTATTGTGAAGCGGAAATTTCTATGAAAATAATAAATCTTTGATAAATTGCCAGAAAAAAAAAGGGTTAGAAAGTTATATGTTTTATGTTTTGGGCTACATTTGTTAATGATCTCTGAATTATCACGACATTCTAGTCCTCATCAAATGAGACATTCTATGTTAGGCTTCTATAACATCTTTGACTGTACTGTTATCTTATTGTCATTGAAGAATTAAAGATTTCAGACATGCAGCATTAGGAAGGATGAATAAAATTGCCATCACGAGCTCCAAATTATGGCTAAAGTAGCTGTTAAATATATTGCTGGTGTCATCATTTCTTGTTCGTCTGCAAAATTTTTAATCTCTTTAGCAGCAATAGAGATGGCTAACGTGCTTTTATGTGATGGGAACCTTTCTCAATGAGCTGGTACTTGGGATGCTGGCTTCTTTATCATTGTCTCACTAACTTCCTTGATCTTTCGGCTGCTTAAGAAAAAAGTTGTAGTCCATACCCAGGGATCAAGTTGGCCTTGCGAACAGCTTGATGCACTATCTCCCTTAGACCCTTTAAGCGAAGGGCTCTGCTACATGTACATTATGGTGTACATAAGGGTGTCCATAATGGACACCCGGCACCACCCTATTGGATGGAGTGTCGGTGGGACCTGCACTCCATTCAATAGGGTGGTGCCGGGTGTCCATAATGGACACCCTTATGTACACCATAATGTACAAGGAGAATAATCCTTAAGGGAAATGCGTCACTCCCCGTTTTGTTGCATGATTCTAAAGCCATTCACTTGATTACGGAAATGGGATATGACCCTTCAATAGACTATTTTGAGCAGCCTAGTTGCATGCATCTCCATCTGAACTCTCTTTACTGGTTCAATGTATTTAAATTTGGTGTCAATTTCAAAAATCATAGTGGGCCCTTTGATCGATAACTAGAGCCCGTGTCTACAGAAAAAACAAACACCATATCCTCAAGCCACTACACTCCTTGTCTTTAAGAGATATATATACGATTCATCTAGAGAAAAAAAGATTGTTGTAGGGAGGAAGACATGCAGCAGCCAGCAGGGTCACAAGTTGGGATCACATGGATTTGGGGCGGTAAATGCGGCCAACTGGTTCTTTTATGTGTTTATCATGATCTCTTCAATCTTAAAATGTACAAAAAAAATATGGACAGCTTGGACAATTTCCTTAGGACATGTTTTTGCTTTTGATTCGTACTAATTACAACAAAAACATGCTTGCACCTTGTCAATTTTATTTGTTTCCCACGTTCTTTTTCAATTTATTGAAATAGGATTTTATTTTTATTTTTATTTTTGACTCATGCGTGAAACACGTGTTAACTGTTAAAGTTGGTGCATTACACGTTGTATATATGAGATTTATTATGATGCACAACTCGTGACCATTAAACATTTACTGTTGATATATTTTTTCCCGTAAACATTATAAATTACAAAAGGAGAGTATCTATCCAATTATACCTGCCACGTGACTATTTTTTTTTTTATTTATTAAAATGTGGTGTCACGCCTGTAATCAAGATTTTCATTTCAAAATGTCGTATATTTGCTTATAATGAACTCATAATTCCTACAAACCAGTTGAATCTTGCTGTATAATCAGTGACGAGAGCTAATTTTAAACTCTTTTCACTTTCCCTTTATATCCTTCAGGTTTTTAAAATCTGTCACCAATAATTGCTTCCTTCTCATGACCTTATACAGATTCCATAATTAAATTGAGTTGGCCTTGATAATATTCAAATGTGCACTCACAAGTGAAAACATTAGTCATAATTGCTATTAATTCTTTTAGCTTCTTTATTTCTTCCTGATTTTCTTTTTAGTTTTAGATTTATGGAAACTGTTACAACAAAGTTAGTATTGAATTACTACCTTATGGTCGAAGATCTATATGTTACACCCGAATAAGAGAAATAAACGTGTTCACATATAATTCTCGTGATATCGAAGAACTAATCTAGAAGTATGCATTTAAGCCAAACTAGTGCAATAAACGTGAGTCCTAAAACACCGGCGGACCCACATGAGGTCAAATGACCCCACAATTTTTATTTTTTTTTGAGTTTTCCTTAAGTTTTTTTTTTTTAACCTAAGCATTTTTGAATTCTCATTTTTGACCCCACAAGAAAAATGGTCTCGATTTGCCACATAAAATATCCTCAATATATGTGAACGTACAATTGTCGTGATATCAGAGAACTAATCCAAAAAGTGTCGACTCAAGTCAAATTGAAATTTAAATGCAAGATACATAATTCAAAAATTTGAAATAATTTGGCAACAAATCTAGTCACTGATCTCNAAGGAAAAAAAAAAAAAAAAAAAACTTGAGGTGGGATCCACAACTCACATTCACTATTTAACATGTAATCACATGATTAGTATATGCTACCTGCACTTCCCCTTGTTTATCACTTTAGTATCAAAAGAACAAGTGATAGAGATTTCAAGTACCTGATAATCAATTATTTTCCACTTTTTACGACATAAGTTCAAATTAAAGAATTGTAAAAATCCAACTGAGTCCCAAAAATTTGAGTCAAAAGAGCACCAAAACACCACCACTGGAATATGGACAATGGACTGCTGACCAGAGTTAAGTGAAGCACTGTAATCAATAATCAAAACATTTTTGAACTAGGCTGCACTTTTTCTTGAGATTTAGAAAAAAAATTGTGTTGAAGGGGTGCGTTAAGAACTAAATGGTGTAACAATGGGAATATTCCAAATCCGTCGGGACAAGTAGCATTATTCATTAATAAATACCTTAATTACTTGCCAAACTAAATGACTGCCTTAGATACAGGTTGTCAGACAGATACATGCACGAAAAGTAAAAAAGAAGTGCCTTAAATGTTCCAACATCACAAGCCACAGCACATTGATCATCCCTCTTTCAAGATTCATATCTACAAAAAATGGCGGACTTTGAGAGCCCAGCAGCGATGCCTAAACTCATCACCTTCCTCTCTTCTCTCCTCCAACGTGTAGCGGAGTCGAACGACGTTAACAAGATCCTCAAATCCCAGAAACTCTCTGTCTTCCATGGCCTAACCAGGCCTAATATTTCCATTCAGAGTTATATAAAAAGAATTTTTAAGTATGCAAACTGTAGCCCCTCTTGCTACATTGTTGCATATGTTTATCTTGATCGGTTTACACAGCTCCAACCTACTCTTCCAATCAATTCTTTCAATGTTCATAGGCTGCTAATCACTAGTGTCATGGTCGCTGTAAAATTCATGGACGATGTGTAAGTTTCTTTATTCTTTTGTTTATTTTTGACCATTAAATTAATATCAGAATTATGATCTTGGATTGATTTTTTTCAAAGACTTTTGAATTCTCCATGTTAATCAAATACAAGTCTTTGGATTTCTCGAATTACCAGAGATTTATGATTAAAGCTTTTTTTTTTCATTTAACTTGAATTCTTCATCCTGCAAATAACATTAATTATTAGGTCCAGCTGAGAAATCCAGGTTTTTCTTTATTTCCTTTTTGTATAATATATTTTTCTTCAAAGACAGCCACTCATTTTATTGGCTTTTAAGGGTCTTTATCTAATATTCATAACTGAAAGTACAGTCCAACAAAGAATTAATTAGGCATGTTTTGGCAAGCAAAACTCGACACTACAATAAACAAGATTTTAAACATTTTAGATATATTGTAATGAATGACAAACTGAACCATAAGTCTGAACCTTATAAATGAATATATTCCAAAACTTTTCTATAGAATCTAATGGAACTTCATCTTTTTATGTATGGACTTGAAAAATACAGGTATTACAATAATGCTTGCTATGCTAAAGTTGGAGGAATCAGCACAACTGAGATAAACTTTCTTGAAGTGGATTTTTTATTTGGATTGGGATTCCACTTGAATGTGACTCCCACCACTTTCTTCAAATATTATTCTTACTTGGAGAGAGAAATGATGATGCTTCAACCTCATATAAACATGTCAGAATCTTACTTATTTATTGGAATTTCATCAAAACTTCACTTGTCTTTCAATGAAGATGAACCACCCCATCATCAACAACAGCAACTTGCTGTTTGAGATCAATGCATTTCTTGTTGTAGTCAAGTAAATTTGTCCTACGAAGCAGCCAATTAGAAACCATCATTGTATTAGACGTTATGATACATTTGGTATCAAGTATTAGCAAGGCTCGGCAATACAACATTTAAGGGTCTTACATTTTTTAATATTATTGGATGTTTTGTTGTGTTGCCTTTCCAAACAAAACATGTTGTTTCTATAAATTTGGATCATTCTTGGGAAAATTTCCGTTCCCGATCTTCGGACTTATTTTATCGAAACTATTGATACAGCGGAAGTCGTTGTCTCATTGATGGTTGACCCAACAATTTTACATTTAAAGAAAAAGTAGCAATAAAGAAAGAAAATGATTTTCATTGCAAATAAAGAATCAAGATTGTGTGTCCCTAAAGTTCACAGGTTGGCAAAGTTGGTGCTGGGACTCGATCTGGAAAGGGACATGAATAATGACAATAAAAGGGGTGTGTGTTTGTACAAAATGACAGATTATAATATTTATTCCTTGTGTTTTTGGTTATGAGACAAATTGACAGTTGTATTTGATCATGTTAAATCATGGAACTATACATACTTGTAGTTGAGCATGTGCCAACATATGAGAGAGAGAGAGAGAGAGAGCATGTATTGTTTTATTCTTTCTAATCCAGATTATAATATTTATTCCTTGTAATGGAGAATCATCCAAAGTAATGTGATTGGCACCACAACGAGAATATATGAATATTATGTGCGATTTTAGCCTCGTCGAGGCAGAGGACAAAATGGTCCATGGATCATCGGGACATGTGATACTCTAATTAGAATTGTTGTGTTGTGAGTGAGTTAGGCACACATTATTTATACAAAAGAAGAGTTTAAGTGAAGGGCAAGTTGTCCAATTGCTACTATGATTTAACTTAAATATCTCATAAAGGCATGTTTTGAGTTCGAATGACGATAGAGAAATATGTGAGGGGTAAAAAGGCAGTTGCTCTTACAAAATGGACAGTACATATATANGTGACATGTTATTTGTTTGTGTGGATTGTGACTTAGTTTGTTTTACTATGACCTTCATACCCAAGAATTTATAGCATGTGACCTATGAATTTGTGTGTTTATGATATGTTATGTTATATAAATGCGACCTGTGAGCTTGTGTGACTATGACCCTATGTTATCTAAATGTGATCTAAGCATATACATTCATGTTATCACTTGAATTTTGAAACAAAAAAAGTTAACGCCTGATTAATGAAGTAGATGTCTCCTGATAATTAATCTCATATTTCAATCAATTTTCAAGTGCAATTTGACAAACTTTAAGGTAATCTAAAGTTCTCTGTTTAACTGAATAAACCAGTTTCACTAGATTGGTTTACACCCAAGTGGACAGGGGACAGTCTTTCAAGTATGACTTTTGTCAAGGTCTCCAAATCTTTATTCCTGGAGGTTTGCCTATGTAAATGTTGCTGGATTAAGGGGATGAAGAAATTTTTGTTCTTTCCGGTAAACTCAGTCACAGGCTTTTAAGTTCAATGAGAGCTTTCATATGAACTGTTGGATTCGCAGAGCACCTGAACGAGAAATTTAAGAGAGAAAGAAGTAAAGAATCTTTTGCAATGCTGCATTACATCAAGATTATAACTATAATATATATTCAAATCAGATGAGTGAACATGGCTGAGCATTATCCTTAGTTCGAGTTTTTGAAAAAGGCTTCAACTGCTACAAGACAAAAAGAACAGGAAAATCCTCTTTAAGCAGTTGCCCGTGTTTGGGACACACATCTTCGTCTCGTAGGGTAATCTCTCACCACCTTGGTCAGAATCATCATCAGGAACGGCATAACTATGGAAAGGATAACAAAGAATAGAGAGAGTTTACCATTAGGTGCAATAGCACCCATACAAGTGTCATATGTTGCTACGAGTGCAAAAAGCGAGACTTGCAATTCCAATTGTAAAGGGAAATTAATAGTGAGAAAATATAGCATGTGAACAGACATAAAAAACCCAATTGAGTTAAAAAGCAAGAACAGACCAAATGAAACTTTATTTTTTGTGCCCATCACTGCTTTTCCAGCAGTGTGCGCTGGTGGATTTGTGGCATCATTGATGGTGGTGGTGTTACTGGTAGGCCAAAAGTCGTCCTGCCAAACACTACCGGGTGGACTAAGCACGGCTTGATATGTTGCAGTTGCAATTAATACAGCTACAACAAGCAATGTATTTCTGACTTTGCTTGGAGAGTCTTTAGTTTTGTCATATTTGAAGTATTCCTGCAATTTTTTAGAGGGTTTTAGAGGCCTCTCTCTCATCAATCCATGTGCTGATGCATCCTGAGCGGCAATAGTCCTGTTTTCTGTTTGCATAGCCTGTTGATCTAGGTGCATGTCTTCAACTCCTAAAGCCCCAGCTAGCCTAAGCATTTGTTCAATTTCACAATCACCCCTTTCTGATAGTAATACATCAAGTGGTGTAAGACCCCTTTTGTTTAAGGAATTCAGCTCCAACTTTCCCTTGTTAACAAAGTTTTCATCCAGCACCAACTCAACAA